ACTCTTGACATTCATGTTGACGCTGTTTCCAAGATAATCTTCTTTGATTCTGGTGAAAAGGTGCTAAGCTTTCGTCCGTCATATGATGAACATCATCCAAGCAAGGCACCATCGTCACAACAAAATTCAAGCTAACGAGTCAAGAAAACTTGACTCCCGTAAAGCCAATCGACAGCTGGTCAAGAGGAATCCTCCGTCGTCTTCTGGTGGAACCGACCTTCGAATATCTTTATATAGTTTTTCCGCGAATGTGTCAAATCATCCAATAAATTGTTCCCATGTCGTTCTTGCAATTTGCTTGTGTTGCCAAGGCGATTTCTAAGAATGTAATTGGTATAGTACTAATGAAAATCTTAAGATTCACACCGCAAACTTGTTACCAAGGCAATTTTTATTAGTCTCCCCGATAACACGAACAAGTTGCACAAACTTCATACAACGACAGAGACTGCGACCCAAATAGACGCCACACCATCTTGTTCTTTATACCTTCGAGGGTTCTACTTAAATCCTTGGTCCCTTTTTGCCTTCCCATCTGCCCACCCTTACCCCATTTGGTTATTCCATCATTTTGCGCAAACTTGTCTGTGTACGTGATTACCAACCTGCCGGCTGGGCGCCCATCGAAACCAGGTGGCCATCAAAGTGATCGAGAAGAGCCGCTGCACCACAGACGCCTACGTTCGTCGTACCCTGCGCCGCGAGGGTCGCTTGCTCCAGCAATTACGCCATGCCAGTCTCATCCAACTGCTCGAGATCTTGGAGACCGAGCATGCCTACTACCTCGCTCTAGAGCTCTGTCCAGGCGACGGTCTTCTCGGGCACATCGGCTCAACAGGTCGGCTTTCCGAGTCCGTCGCCAGGAGGTATGCTGCTCAGCTGTTGGCCGGGGTCGCCTATCTTCACAAGAATGGGGTCATGCACAGGTCTGTTGTCGGATTCTTGCAACCCTGTCTTGTGGTAGCCTAGACGCAGAGACAAATCGCTCAGGGGGGAGTCTTCACGATGCGCCTTAAGTCCTAGTAACTAGTCAAAACTGCAGACTCTTCTCATCATTTTACGCAACGACAAGAATCTAATTCTTAATAAATCAGATTGTATAATTAATGTAAATTTTGAGCACACATTTTGAGGGAGGGCAATCTTTGTTACAACCGTCATCAATAACATTTCGGTAACCCAGAGCAATTTATACTCTTAAATAAGGGAAAAAGTTAGAAGACACTAATACTTGGTCATGGATTATGTAGACATTCATAGGGTTGCAGGCATAAGCAGATGCCATCTTGACGTGTCCATTGAAAAAGAAACGAAATAGTACGTTGAGTTGATTCTTATCAAATTCATGCGACTATTTCGAGACAGAAGTGTCGTCAAATGGTCTCCATCGGCTTGGCAAGAAGACTGAGCTGCTATGTTGGTTGGAGCATTCTGAAGTAGGGCAACAAAAGTAGTGAATAAAAAGAATTTTCCATTTGAATCTCCCCTTGAAACTAGAGACAGTGAATTCTGACGCCTACACTCCGAGCGACTAATCGACATTTCAGTCTTTCCTAGAAGCATGAGGCAAGATTTTGTTTCTCTGTGCTTTAGGGACAAAGAATCATCAAAAGAGGCATAAAAGTAAAGTCAAGACTGATATAGAATGCATTTACTGAAATGCACAATGTCGAATGATAGCTAATATGTAATCGAGATATATGAGGATTATGCTGGCCATGGTGAAACATTGGATATGGCATTCAATTTCGAAGAAAAGGTTAATCGGAAGGGATTCTTGCAATACTCTCGCTGGAAACCGAAGGAAGATTGCCGAAGGTTGAAGTCAGCTGGATTTTGTGAAGAAGCCTTCAGCTCACCCTCCTGCTAACCCGATGAACGTGTGCTTAACGTAAGTCTGTACCGCCGTGACAGACATCAGAGCAGGAACCCAAACTTTACGAAAAATGATATACCCCCGGCCACTGGTTGTACACATGTCCTTGCCAACTTAGTGAGGCATTCCATGATTTGGCTGACTTGCAGATAAGAGAAATTAATTCGTGAACTAGAAGTGGTGGTAACAACTGTTTCCTCACATAATTAAATTATAATGTTGACCCGTATTTAGGTACATGTTTATGTAATAACTCACTAACTAACTCGAGGCTATTCCAGACTCCTTTTCATGCTCTTCCTGATCTCTCTCTCTCTCTTTCTCTCTCTCTCTACTGAAGCCTATCCAACAGGCACAAATAGTTCCTGCACAATTTTCTACATTTGTTCCTGTTTTAGCCATGTGCTCGGCAATTTCAGATTTTTAAACCCATGTAACTGTATAGGGGATTTTTGGTTCAGATAATCTCTTCAGGTTGAATCTGTAGGTCTCTGTCACATGAAGAAACAAGCTTGAGGCAGCCTGATCTAAAAAGAGGTTCCGAAAATTCTAGAAAACAATGCGCGACTGAAGATGCTGATTTGTTGGTATACATTTTTCTCATGTTCCACTTCCTTAATAGGTCACCAAATCTTTTCGTAAACTGATAAAAGGCAAAATCAGGAAGCGAGTAGTATGGTCTATCGCTCTATCAGACCTAAAATAACAATCTCTGCTTGTCCTGTTGCTGAGTATCGAAGTGTAATTATCTATCAATCATAATGAGTGATTGTTTTAAAACAACCAATGCCTCAGTCTACCCAGTTCCCACGCTTGCTAGACACAGACTCCTTGATATAGCTGATTTCATAAATCCTACTGTGATACCATATGTATGCTTGAATAAAAAAGTAATAAGGAAACCCGCACGTCTCTACCCAGCTTATTACCTTCTTAGCTCATTAGTACATCGGGAAATGGCAATTACTTCTCTTCTTCTGACTCCATGGTAAATTTAATAATGTCATCCGTAGATACGAAGAGTAACTCGGTTTCGATGAATCTCCCGAGATAACATTGTTGGCGAGATTTTCATTTCGCATAAAAGTACCAGAAGAGGAGGGTTGATTCCAATTGTACTGGAGCAATTTAGCTTTAATACGACGTTTAGGTTGGCACAGCGCACGAGACAATCTCTTACGCTTATGGTGAAAAAGGAATGAGCTTTCATCCATCATATGATGGACATCATCATAGCTGGAACTCATTCTTGTAAAAGTTTCAAGTTAACACCAAATAAAGAAGACCTTTACCAGAACAAGAGGGAAGATAAAGCCAGATAATCTTCCTGGCATAGTGTTAACGTGAGACTTTTACAATTATGATTTCCAGTTCTAATGAGCTCCATCATATGATGGATGAAATCCCAGCCCATTTTTACTCGAAATGAGAGAAGAGGTCTCAACCTGAACGCCATATCAAATTGTTGAGCTTACTTCCATTTCGAGTTAAAGTGCTGGGTGAAGAGATTCGAAGGTTGGTTCCACCAGAAGACGACGACCGATTCCTTTTGTCCAGCTGTCGATTGGCTTTACTGAAACATCCATGCTGACGCTATTTCCGAGGAAATCTTCTTAGATTCCAGTGAAAAGGTGCTAAGCTTTCGTCCATCATATGACGGTCATCATCAGAGCAAGGTATCATCGTCACAGCAAAAATCAAGTTAACGAGTCAAGTTGGAAGTAAGCTCAACAATTATGGAACAAGAGATTCCTCGAAACCCAACTTTTCTTCGCCGTTTTAAAGCCAAATGGCTGCAGTAAAACGGAAATCAGCCATTCTATTCGATTGAGATCGACCTTAGAATCTCTGCGATTTTATCCCAACAATATTATTTCAGGCGATCAATCGAAACCCAGTTACTCTTCTTATCCATAATAACTTTGAATTTATAATTGCCTCTTAAGGCACACACTTTCCTATGAAATGAGAAAAAAATGGGTGATATATTGTGACATGACTTTTTATTTCGAAGGAAAAGTTGGTTGCAAGGAATTCGTGATCTGGTCTCACCGGAAACCGAAAGAGGATTGCCATGTAGGATCATCGGCTCACAGTCCTACAACCCCGATAAACCTGTGCCAAACTTTCGTCTGTACTATTACTGTTACGGACATTATTAGAACAAAATTCCATAGTTTACGAGATAAAGCAAAAATATATTAAACAAAAAGAAAAGGTGGCTGGCTGCAACCCTAGTCGCTTTTGTATACACCTAATCTTGTGATCCTAATGAAGCATCTCATGATCTGGTTGTTTACTTCAATCTTGCTCTCTACTTCCCTACAAAAATTGCCTTTTGTGTGTGTGTGTGTATGTAATGTTCATGTCATGAGAAGTGTGATAGATCTAGCTAGACTCGAGTTTAATCCAACCTTCTCTTGTTGAGTAGAAGGTTATGTCACAATATATCACTGAGGGAGTCTTCGAAACCCCGTTTTTCTTCATATCTTGTGTTACCAAGTGTTTTACAGGCAAAACAAAGCCCTCTCTCGTCAATTAACCGGAACCCGCAGAAACTGATGCATCTTTTCAACTGGACGCTTCAGGATTTCTCCTACCAACCGATAATAAAAATATCAAAGATATTTGCACCTAGGTCACCAATGGTTACAGGGAGTGTGTATCCTTTTTCTCTATTGGCCGGTGCAATGACAACCAGACTGTTTTAGGTAAAAGTGATACTATTTTGACGCTTCAACTTTGCCTGAAAGGGTGATAAAGGAGAATGTGCTTCTGAAAATAACACTATGGAGTGTTTACTGTTTTTTATTTCACACATAGTTTACATCATTGCCACGAGCTGCGGGCCAAGGTAGATTGTTGTTCTGTAGGGCTCAGTGAAAATGGGCCTGTGTACGTTAAAATCTCAGCAGAAAGCAGTGAGATCGATAGAGAAAGTGGAAGAGAAAGAGTGAGATGAAGCAGAGACTACAGTTGGTGGGCGAAGGACACGACAGTTGTTGCCAATGCTTAGGCCAGCAACTGGGCGGACAGGCCATGCAAAGACAGGGAGTTCACAAAAATTGCAACAAGACACTTAAGGCCAACAGATGCGCAGTTCTTTAAAGCTGACAAGATGCAAACCGCTATGCAGTCGAAAGCGTGAATCAAAACAAAATTTCCGCTTTTTGCATTTATACTGCTCTTTATCTCCTTCGTATTCTTATTCGAATCTTGCTCTTTTCCTCCATTTAGCTACCATATTCCTTCTTCCTCACTTTCCATGAATTGTATTCCCACTATACTCCTGGGTTATCCTTTTTTTATGACTATAAGTTTTCTATTCAATATTGACAAATCAAGAGTGAATTGGGCGCGAAATATTAGGAGCATCCTATAAGGCGCATATTATTAAATTAATTATGAGTAATTGCTCCATTTATCCAATCCAGCAATCCGTCTTTCTATTGTATCCATCTTATTTTGCTATTATTATCATTATTATTATTGATTTTATAGTAGTTTTTATTGTTGCCCTAGATAAACCTTGACGGTTGTGTGGTAAAAAAAGGTGAAGAAACCTTTTGCACGCAGCCCCATTTAGTAAACGAGGGCTGAAAGACCTCTTGTACCTACATTTACAGCTTGCTCTCCTGTCCATTTGTGCCAACAGTCTGTTTTCGCAAACTACTCGGTTTACCTTGCGGGCCGATATAGAAATCTGACTCTTTCTTCAGTTGGGAAGACCACCACAAAAGGCCAACGTATCTTATTGCAATTGTGGCTATTGTTGGTAACTTTGCTCCTTTAGAAGTGTAGCATGAGAGCCAACAACCAAACCAAAACGACAAAGTAAACAGGACTTCTCGTCTCCATTCTGCAAACAGTAAAGCCATCTTTAGAAGTGATGCAGACCGATTATATTTTTAGCTAATACAAGCAATCCCTATTCGACCGACCAGTCGCATATTTCTTTGCAGAAGTGATCTGTCTCCCCCCCAACCCCTTCTTCGCACACTTACACACCGAAAAAGCCAATTCGTCAATACTGCATAAGTTAATTGCCGTAACTACAGTAGTTAACATTGAAAATAGTTGGTTGTAAAGCCAATCGTCTACAGCAGAACTCACTTTAATCGAAGATATGAAGACCAAATGGTGGGTTCGCAGTCTCCTTTCGATGTATAGAGGTGGGTTGACCTCGTTTTTGCAACTTGGTTTTGTTGTCAGGGCGACTCAGTTGAACGCACCTTGTCCGAAGTCCTGTGCCATAGTAGTTATCATAATTCGTAACATCAGACTTGGCACATTCTCAGACATTTTGCTGGCATCGTAGTCGACATCATCAGTGAGCTCGAGCTACAACTCGTCAAAGAGACGATTTTGTAGCTTGGTGTGGAGAATGACAAGACTCAGTGATGATGCCAAGTACGATACCGGCGAAACGTCTGAGAATGTACCAAGTCCACCATCTGATGTTGGGAAGGATGATGACTACTTTGGCAGAGGACTTCAGACAAGGTGCGTTCAACTAAGTCGCCCTGACAACAAGACCATGTTGCGAAACGATGTCAACCCACTTCTAGAAGTAACTTTAGTTCAGACGATGTACAGGGTCATTGACTCGGCTCCATGATTCTCAGATTGCCGTTTAGCATACCTTACTCGAAACTAAGAGAGCAAATGAATGAAATCCTATACATCAAAGATCCTTTCGTGGCCTACTTTGGGGCCGTTTCCACTCGGATCCTCTTTTCGAATATTGAGTTTGATGGCCAAAGGTAGATGCCCTACTTTTCAGGATACTCATGGACAATAGGCAAAACAATAAAGCCAATTGATATTTAAAAAAGGTGAGTGTATAGCCTGTTGACCTCAGTTCTGCAGATATTTGGCGTTGTGCCAAGTTAAACCAATGTCACCAGACTTAAACTTTCTCACCTTTCGGGTCGACCATTCTATCAAAACATCGCCGACAAACCTAACTTGCCTTTATTACTTCGTGGGGTTTTGTCAAAAGTTGGTTTCTTGTTCTGACGCAAAGTGTGTCGCGATAGGACAAAAGAAGACTGATGACGCACTCTTCGGGCCCTGCGCCGGTGGGTTTCGTCCATCCTCGCCGGTTCACCGCGGCAGATGCGCTACAAGTCACCGACGCGGAGCGTCGACAACTGACACAGCCTCTCGTTGCCATTGCGACGACTTCAGCACAGGTTTTCATAACAGTCAACTCACCTCCACGCTTGACCAAACACTCCGAAAGTGGCTCTATCATTTATCTTCCATCTTCCTCTCCTTTTTGTAGAGATTTAAAGGTGGAAAATATCCTTCTCTCTGAGGACGACCACGTTAAAATTATAGGTAAGCCATGCCTACTGGCCTGCTGTTACCGATCCCTATGAGATCACCGTCTTGACTATGACATTCATTTTGCCCGTTGTCATCACTTTGTGACATGTGGCTCTGCTTCTTCACGCCTAACAACACCATTAACAACCGGGTATCGTTTATTTCACATGGCAACATGAGCAGCTAACCAGAACAGGATCATTTGAGTCTATCAATTGAGCCTCATTCGCTTAATGTTCATGGTTAACCGATGCACCTGCATAAAAAGAAATGTACACTCTTTACACACTTCACCCAGTATGCACAATTTTATTTGGTGATATACAAACATGTGTGCGTCTGCGCTAAATTATGCTGGCTTTTTGAGAGACATTCGTCCTCCCGTGCAGTGATGTGAGCATTTTTACTCAATTCCACGTGTTTGTGAATTTTATCTACTTTCACTTCTCTCGCCCGTCTGGCCATTGCGCATTTACTCTTCACCCCAGCTGGGAATCACATACAGATGGGTCAACACACTGTGCATCTAGAGTGCTGCCAGACGACGGTTGTGCACTTCAGCGAGCACAGAGGCTCGCGGATCTCGTGTTGGAGGGCCCCAAGGATCAGATCGATTCCGGCATGACTTGTGTCATCACAGCCAATTTATATTCTACCGGTTGGATGGATCTAGAGGTTGGAGAGGCAGTAAAGGGTAGTCTAGTCTTCAATTGATCACAATGGTTACTAGTCCTCCCCCGCTCGGACGGACGCCTCGAATGGAGTTTCACAGATCCGCAGGCGAAGACTGGCAAATCCGACAAAAGTCTCCGTCTCAACTGAGATTCTCGCGGAACGTAGTCACTTTTAGCGCTGAGCAGCTGTCGCAATCAGCCCAATGGATGTTGTGATCAAAGAGGCTCAAAATCCGGCCTTAATGGACTTTTTACGCCCGATCTAGAAAAAGGGAAGGGATCCTACTATGGCTCCAATTGCGCAATTTTGAGTTAGACTCAAACAGTGAAAAAAATATGTATGAAATATATTCATCCTCATTCGTTCAGGATGACAAGAAGACTGGAAATTGAATTATCCCACGACGATGTGAGTTAGTATAACGTTTCCATTGAATTCAACTATCAGTCTCCCCCATCACCCTAAACCAAATGGGATGTATATCTCATGTATATGATCCACTGATAGTCTCTCAAGCCTATATTTATAGAAGGAAAATAAGTAACCTAGTCGATTGCTATAGCAAATTTGCTCCATCAACACTCCCAGCATAGAATGTGAAATGGGAAAATACCTGTCCTTCCTTAAAATTCACATCTGTCCTGCGACCCAAGGGCACTCGTGGCAATGTGGCGTAGTTGTCAACGTGTCGAGACCTAGGCAAGGTCGAAACTACAGTCAACTTGAGCCTGGATGAGAATGTCTTATGGTAAAACAAGGCTGTGTAAAATTTAATAGAAACGTCATGTCTACTATGGTATCATCCTAAACAAGATTGGATGAATATATCTTTTTGACATGATCTACTGGTAGTCCCGAAATTCTACTTGCAAGTGAGAGGATTGTCTATGATAATGGATATATTGCGTCTAATCCGTTGGACGTTATAGTTAACAAATGTAAAAACGTGGACTAAAAAAAGAAGTAAGCTCCCTATAAGCTAGAATTTATTGACCCAGTAGCACTAACGAGTGTAATAACGAATGATATTTTGCTCTACCGAGAATTATGAGAGATGCTTTATCAGAAAAAGTACCACAATAAATACAGCTTCAAGACGCATTTCTGGGCCCTAATTGAGATCGTGACATAGACTCAAAAGTTAACGAGTAGAAGGATAGTAGCATGGAACGAGGGGGAAAAGATGAAACCCTTTTGGTTTTAGTGAAATTAGGAGAAAGTGAGCCAACAACATGCGTTTCTGTACAGTTAGATGTGCCTATCTACTCTGATTACAGGCCAGCAACGCGATCACATTCATGGCTGGTCAGCATCGCAGCAGCCAGCATCCATTTCGGTGATGAGTTTCATGCGAAAATCTCGACAGTGTTGGAAATTTGGTCCTTGGTTCCATCTTTACTCAATTTTAGGCGCCTTCTATGATGATATCTCTCAAATATTTTGTCATTATTTGCCAGATTCTGTAGCGTTTATACTCACGATTAATCAAGGGGAAATAATACAAAGTTAGGCATTTGGCAAGTAGGATGGCTAAGCATGGTCGACGAGAAGTCTCAAGTAACGAAAGCAGTTTCTGTTGAAACTCGTGCAACAACTTATCAAAATCACTAATAAAGTCCATCTCGTGACCAATATTTTGCCGAAGCTTGTAATGTTTATGTAAATCTGCCGCTTATATTGTCCACGAACTGTATTTTTGGTGCGCCATTTTGCGTGGGTTTATGGCGACGTAACTATGCTATCCTCTAGTTTCTGCTCTCCCTGAGGTTTGATTTCTGATGAGTCTACAAGCCACGCTATCCCAATCCTATCAGCTTCTCTCTCTTGCCCTCATAAAGAGGATCGTTTAGACCTCGTTTTTGCAAATCGACCATGTTTTCGTCGAGACTTCGAAGAACTCATCCCGTACTGTGTTCTCTGCTAGCGTTATCTTCTTCCAGTATATAGCAGATGACTGTGTTTTTCTAAACGTTTAGCCAAGAGCTTCAATTAGCAAAGACGAGCCAAAAGGATGACTTTTAGTCTGGTGCTACACTGACGATGACAAAGAGAGCGTTAATGAACCGTCTGATAAGGCACCCGACAATACTCTGATACTGGAGAAACAAATGAAGCATATATTCGTATTGGATGAGTTTTGAATCCACCAGTAAATCTTGCATAAGAGCCGTATTCAGGTTGGGTGGAATAAGGTGATAGAAGAGGAAACATTTGAGAATGCCTCATATTTTCATTGAAGTTCGCGTAGACTATCTTCCCATTAGTCATTCTCAGCCGGTCTGGAGTAGACTGCAGCTTCGACCTCGCCTCAACTGGTCTCATCAGCACCCTAGTGGTAAAAGTGTAGAGTACCTACGCTGCACTATGATAACCTGGACCCGAGTTCCATCTCCATCTGGATGGGGATACCTCTTGGGGAGCCAAAATGTGTGAAATCCAAAGGAAAGCGGAATCTAACTCAAGTGATTTGGAGACAATTCCTCTATCAGTCCCTCATCACCTCGTTAAAAGTGATCTTATTGCTTGGGAGACGTGCACTTCATATGAAAGTGCATGAAGAAGAGATTCGTCGGTTCATCTCACCAGAAGACGGCAGCTGATTCCTGTTGTACTGCATCCGTTTGGCTTTAATACCACGTCCAGATTGATACAGTCCACGAGACCTCGTTGATGGTGAAAACGGGCTGATGCACATCGTCAGAGCTGGAACTCATTCTTTTTAAAGTCTCATATCAACGCAAGGTCTAAGAGATTATCCTATTCTACCTTTCCTCTTATATATCCTCATAACTAGAAAACGAAAAGGAATAGGATCGTGTGTGCGTGTGTGTTAACGTGTAGACACAATTCAGGTCATAGATCAAAATGACCAAAAAAGGTTAATGTTAAGCTCTGGTCATTAAGGGTTAATAACACAAGAAAAAGCCCTCAACAAGACTGCGTAAGTCCGTAAGCAACCATGGTTGAGATAATGATTTTTCAAATTGCAAGTGTGCAAGTCAGGTTACGAAACCATTAAGGTTACACAACCCAATGAAAGTTATGATTGGGGCTGCATAATCTAGTACGTGTTATGAGATGTATTCACTCTATTTCGTTTAAGGTGATGATAAGGCCGATGCGAGGTCGAAACTGCAGTCCAGTTCAGCTGGGATGGGAACAACTTTTGGGAAATCAAGGCTATGTGAAATTGAATGGAAACGTCAGCTCTACTCATATCATTGTGGGAAAATTTTACTAAATAGAGTGAATACATCACATATTACTGATTTACTGGTAGGCTTAATACTCTACATAAAAATACGTAAAATTAGTGCGCGTTGTTTGGTTGATGAGCTTATTCCAACATGTTGGGCGAATGTGAGGAAAGTTAGAGCCATCAAGGAGGGGCCCAACACCCTCTCTCTCTTCTTCAATCAATCAATCAGGCATACGTAGTTTATATTCAACAATCTACCATCACTCCTCACGAGGGGGGATGGCTTGTGGATTGCGTCAACCCGAACGTCGTATTAAGGCCAGACGACTGTGGGACAACGAGAATCAGCCGTCGTGGTCTGGGGTGATCAACCTACGAATTTCTTCTTTATGCCCTTTCATACGAAATGAAAGTCCCCCGAGCCATGCTATCTCAAGACAGTCATCGAAACCCAGTTACTCTTTCTATCTACAAGGTAATATATTTGGATAGGAGTTGACGACTGTCAGTAACTCAGATATATGAGTTGTGTTCACCCAATTTCGTTTAAAGTGATGAAGGACTGGTAGTTGAATTTTCACATGATGATATGCGTAGACGTGACGTTTACATTACATTTCATATAGCCTTGATTTCAAAAAAGGTATTCTTATTCAGGCTGGCAATGCCTATACCTCATCAGCACCCATAACGGGACTCGAACAATCAAAATGCAGCATATACGCTCGATGCGTTGCCAAACTGCTACAGTGCCACGAATGCACTTGGGTCACAGGGCAGATGAGAACTTCAAGGAATACCAGGAAGTTTCCCATTTCATATACTTTGGTGGGAATGTCGATGAAATAAAGTCATATTTGCTATAATAATCGACTAATCTGCTTAAAAATAAGTAATACAGTCGATTGTTATAGCAAATATAAATTTGCCTAATCGACACTCCCACCAAAGAATGTAATATGGGAAAATGCCTGGCCCACCCTGAAGTTCACATCTGCCCTGTGACACATGGTTCGACCCCCGTTAGGAGTGTTGATAAGACCGATGTGAGGTCGAAACTGCAGTCCACTTCTGT